TTTATTATAATTTTAAAAATAAAAATTAAATATTTGAGAAATTATTGAATTGCATGTGCGTTGGCAATGGCGGTGCCGAGGGAACGGTATGTCCATCAATGCTGAATATGTCGTGAGTGGGAATAGTCGGGTAAATACTAGGATACCCTTTCGCATGAACATGATCATTATTATTATACGACATTACACCCTGTCCAATTTGTGGTGCCGGTCCCATAGTATCCATAATACCAACGTTACGGTCGACATGCCGGCGCTTACGTGTAGCTCGAAATAGTAGGTACGAGAGCACCGTTACCATCAGGTATACCACGGCTACTATAGACTCGTATTTATTGGTGAACGAGTCGATGACCATGAAAATGGTGGCAAATGTCATGTGTATGGCGTACGTGAATATGAGGCACGTTATGGACTTTATGATGCCTACCAGCCCCATCACGTTGAATATCACTGTTATACAAAATATATATTAGTTATCTATTTATTATTTAATTTTTTTATTATAATGTTTATTAAATAAAAACTATTATGTGAATTATTAGAAAGCTGTATACGTATATAATACACTGTACAGTATTTTGTACTTTCAAACTGTACATTAGTTTCAAAATATAAAGTAATTATTGTTATAAAATAAAAAATAATATAAATGATTACAAGTCATTCATTATCGTTAAATAATTTTATTTATACTTTATAAATTGCAAATTAAAACAAGATTTTAGTTTCATTTTTAATAAAATTCAATCTAGTTACAGGTAAACTCTGGCATTTTATTTCAAATATGCTGTAGCATGCTCATAATTTTTACAAAATTATTTACCTGATATAATTCCGCCAATAATAATAATTAGTATCAGCGCACTTTTATGAGCTTGCCTATTAATAAGCTCACTTTTATCATGATAAGTACCATGAAACTTTAACTCATACTCGGTAACCGAGTGATTAAGGACTGTCCCATTTTCCAATTTATATGTTTCGTAATAATGACTTTCCGTTGGCTTCAGGTTATGGGAACGGTAGGTATGATTAGTGCCATAATATGTCTCGAGCCATATGTCCGCAATCCGGGCGCTATATATAGTACTCAATAGACCCGTTATTATCACTAATATTGTCCACAATATTAAGAAATATTTAATTATTTTAAAGGTT